CACAGAAGTAATATAATTTGCTCAAAGTCACATGAGTAGTTTGTTATTATAGAGCTAGAACTAAAAGCCCAGTCCTTTCCTCTTTACACCATACCATGATGGAATCCAAACAAGTGTATTCATATACATATGCACATACATATAGAAAGGCAAGTTAGGATAGTTGTTAGAAAGTTAGAGAGCCCACCTTGAAGTCAGAAAGATTGAGGTTAAGTCTGACATATACTGTTGAGGTGACTGGACAAATCACCTAACTTCTCAGTGCCCTAGGCAATCCCAATACTAAGTGACAAGGCTGTTGTTAATCTATATTGGTAGAGAGAGTTTCCTACTAAAGGATTTCCCTTTATCTACAAAGCCAAAGATCTAGATTCTATTTTCTCTCTTTCTCTCTCTCTCTCTCTCTCTCTCTCTCTCTCTCTCTCTCTCTCTCTCTCTCTCTCTCTCTCTCTCCATCTCTCTCCATCCATATGTCCATCCATTCATCCATCTATTTATCTTTCCATTCATCTATACTTTGTCCATGGAATATAAAAAAGGAAAGAAAAATGAACATCTGCTAGGGACCTTCATAGGCAGCAGGAGGCCAGCCTAAGGGGAAAAAATTCAGAACCAAGTCTGATGATGCTAGAAACTACTGAATGCTGGTCCCAGGAGAAAAATGTTAGCTGCTCAGACATCTGGCAGAGAGTACAGAGGCTTAGCATGTATTAAGAGGAAGATCCCCAATTTCACATTCATTCATTCTACAAATATTTGTGAAATGCCTTCTGTGTCCAGAGCACTGCACTAGGCCCTGTAAGAGGTATTAAGATTAGATTAAGACCTAGGCCCTGCCCTGAAAGAGCTTACAGTCTAGAAGTTCAAAATATCACATCCCCAAAGGAGAGATGACATATGCCAATTGTTAGGTGGGGGGAGTGGGAGCTGGGTGAAATCCCCCTCCTCCTACAAGATGGAGGGATGGAGTTCAGCTCCAGAGCCAAATGAATGTAAACCAGATGCCGGACTGGTTTAGCAGCCAACATTTCTCATGAATGGCAAAATCCAAAGGCCTGAAATGGAAGTGGTCAAACCAAAGGCCAGATTAGAGATTTCAAGGTCCTCGTAGGATTTGGGACAGTTACTGAGAGTATCAACAAAATAGCCGCTTTTCTGATGAAACCTTCCTCGCTGACATGAGTCCTTTTTAATCTTAGAAGGACACATTTACAACCACTGACCAAGTCTCACTGAGCAAATTTATGAATCTAACTACCCTGTCATCCCAGGAAGCAAAAATAAAATGACGTAGACCGTGGAAAACACCATCTCCTGGAGGGTAGGGGCCATGTTTCTTCCCATTATGTCCCTAGAATCCAGCCCAGGGTCTCGCACATTGTCATTGCTTTATAAAAGCTTCTGAAATAAATAAATTAATACATCAGTGTTGTTTTTTAAGCACAACGTCTGTCATTTCCTACCTGTGACTTTGTTCCACCTTCTGGTCCTCCATTACATCCTTGGTAAGATGAGGAGCTTGAACCAGATGATTTTAAGTGTTTTCTGTCTATAAGACCTGTGCTAGATTTCCCCTGGCATGAAAGAGATTTAGTAAAGCAAAATAAAACAAAATGAAAAAAAAAAAGATTTTGTGGAGTTAATAAAGGCAGGAGTATCTTGGTAGAAACACTAAATCGACAGTCAACTTTTAATTACTGGAACACTGGCTATTTGGTTTGTTTAATGTGTCTTCAGTTAGGAGGGGATTTGGACTTCACTCCTCTAGCATTAGCTGTTCCCATCTTTCTTCTGATTGTTGCATGAGGGTAGGGGGAAAAAAGCGTGTGTATAAGGACAAAGGCAGAAGCATCACAGCATCAGAGGTGACCACTGTAACTGAGAGATAGCTCCCATCACTAACAGGCTATCCTCCGTAATTTCTAGGCAAGTAGCTCTTAGGTGCCATATGACTCTGGGCAAGTGTGTTTGCCTCTCTAAGCCTCAGTTTTTTCATCTGTGAAAGGGGGTAAAATGCAAGGTTGCTCTTAGGAAATACTTTTATAGATTGTAAAGCAACATAGGTATGCTTGTTTTGTTGAAGTTTTTTGCTTCTTACACTCCATATATTTCCCACTATATACTCTTCTCCAGCCTCCCTTGTAATACAGATAAGCAGTTAAACAAAAGCAAGCCATAACTGATAACCCTTGTAATGCTCCGTACCAGTTTGTATAATTCTTCCTACGCTTCTCTGACTTCCTCATATCTAAATTATTACTGTCCCTTGCTCTGAGCCAATGCATCTGTGCTTCTGTCAACATTTAATAACGAACTTGCCCCTTTCTAGCTAACTACCTCTCTTTATCTTCAGAACCTGACTTGAGATTTCTCTTAAAGAGTTTTTGGGTTTTTTTTTACAATACAATCTGATAAATATGTAGTAAATGCCTACTATGCACAATACACTATGATGAGTGTTAGGTGGACAAATGAAGTCATACTATCTGATCTCCTTGAGCTCACAACCTGGGAAGTGAAAAGGGGAAGAGAATGTGAAATATACTCAAATACTGTAATAGAAAATAAAACATGATAACTGTGTAAGTATAAGCAAAGTATTCTGTGAAGTTTGGGTAAGGAAAGATACTTTCTTAAGGTGAGGGGAGTGAAGGGGAGGATCAGTTAGGCTTTAGAGAAAAGGTTGAATTAGAACCATAAAATGAAAGGGGTGAAGTAAATCTGGTGATGTCTACCATCTCAAAATCCCATGATCCTGTGAGTGAATGAATGAATGAACTTGTAAAAATACTATATGCCCTGTGATTTTGACAAAAAATCTAGGCCCCTGAGCAAACCTGTTAAAACAGATGGTTGATAATAGGTAAAACACCTTGCCAGCTAACTACTGTACCTATTCATTTACTTCATTCAGAGCCACCCTACATTGTCAGAGAAAGGGAGGAGGAAAGAAGGAAAGCAGTAGGGCCTTTTTTGGAGTGGTATATGGCCTCAGGTTTAGGCTATACACAGGAGCCTTTAAACAGACAGAAAACGTGAACTATTTCTGTAGGAATTTCATCTAGTTTGTAATATCACTATAAAAAAATCATAGCAATTAATTGAAAACCAAATGACAGAAAATGAAAGCTTAGTACAATTAGAACAAAATTAGAAGAAAGGCTCTTTTAGTGCCTGATATGATTTTCTTCTCATTGCCTCCCTCCTGTTCCCCACACATTGGTTGAATTGATAGATATGCCTTAATATTTATGGGTAGGAATTGCATAGCTAAATATGTTATGTTAAAAAAAAAAGAGCCAATAATTTTAGTGTATTAGTAACTTGGTATGTCAGTCAATCAGTCAGTCACCAAGTATTTACAAAGTGCTTATTATGTGCCAGGCACTGTGCTAAACTCTGGAGATACAAAAAAAGTCAAAAACAGTACCTGACCTCAAGGAGCTTGCATTCTAGTGGGGAAGACAAACATGGAAATGACTGAGTGCATACAAGATATATAAAGAATACCTTGGGGTACTCTGAGTGGGAAACATACAAAGGACTTGGTGGAAAATCTTTCTGAAGAAGGTGGGCAGTGGAGCCGAGTCCTGAGGGAAGCCAGGGATACTATGAGGAAGAAATGAACAGAAAGAGCATTCCAGGCACTGTTGTGCAGCTAGGGAAAGGCACAGAGTTGGGTGATGGAGCACGATGTATGAAGAGCAAGTGGTCTGGTAGGGCTGGATTGTAGAGTGCATGGAGGGCAATAAATTCTAAAAAGAGTAAAAAAATAGAAAGAGGGCAGGTTGTAGAGATTGAACTCCCAAAGAACTTTATCATATGATTCTGTAGGTAATAGGGAGCCCCTTGACCTGAGTATTTGAACATACCTGTGCTTTCTAGTAATGTCAGACTCAAAGAGAAATAGATTCCTGGAGCCATACATTAACCTATAAAATCACAAATCTGTTTTATATTGTATTTTTATTTAGTTGTTAAACATTTCCTAATTACATTTTAATCTGGTACTCAAGCTGGATGTTTGATAGCTCTACCTTAGACAAGTCACATTAGCAGCTGACTCAAGAGTGGAACAGCAGCTATGAATACTGACATGAACTTAGGCTCCATTAGGAGAAACATGGTATCTAGGATAGAGAGTTCTACTGTTTTGCCCTAGTCAAAGTACATCTGTAGTATTGTTGTTGTCTGATATCTAATAGTCGATATTGTATATTAATAATTATATAATATGTAACCTATATATTGTGTTACATATTCTATGTGTATAGAATACACACATATTAAGTGCTAAATTCAGGGTGCCATATTTTAGGAAGGATGCTAATAAACTAGAACATGTATAGCAGAAGGCAACCAACATGGTGGAGGAGGTGGGGTGGAGAAAGAAAACTATACTATATAATGGTTAAAAGAATTGGGGGTCTTTAGCCTGGAGAAGACAAAATTTTGAATCGGTATGATAGCTGTCTTCAAATATCAGAAGGGTTGTTTTGTGGAAGAGGGATTACCTTTGTTCTGTTGGCCCTAGAGAGCAGGTTCAGAACTAATGGATGAAGGTTGCCAAGAATCATATTTAGGTTTGAAATAAGGAGAAAAAGAAACTTCCTAATAATCAGAATTCTCCAAAAGATGAATGGACTGCTTCTAGAAGTAATAGATTTCTGGTCAGTGGATCCTTTCATTGAAGCTGAATGATCATTTTCCCAGGACAATTGAAGAGAAGATTCCTATTCAGATGAAGTGAAATTATGTGATTTTATGTGCTAAAAACCAAGATTCACTAATTATATTGGTTTTTTTATGTTTTTTGATGTTATATTGATATTTAGACAGTATGCTCCTTGAGGGCAGGTTTCATGCCCAATATCAGCTTTGTATCTACCCCAACACTAGGTACAATACTTTGCTTATCCACTGGTTTTTTTTGTTATTTCTGTGTTGTACTTCATTCTGAGACTCTCAAGAACTAAGTGTGGTTATCTTTCTTTTCTCAGATGTCAAAACTGAACATTGGATTGGAGAAGTGATCTATTCAACAAACAGTGAGTCCATTTTTCTCTCAGACAAAACCTGTAGTGGTCCAATCTCCTATTTCTGAATTTTTTCTAAGTGGCTGCCATTAGGCTTATGAAATAGAGTAAACTGCTTGTACTTTTTTTGTTTTTCACATCATATGGCGTCTTAAACTTTACAAAGCATTTTCCTCATTATGGTGCTGTATAAGTACCACTATGTCTGTTTTATAGATAAAGAAACCAAGGTTCAGTAGCAGCAAGGGAAATGGAACTCCAGTCTCCTGGTTGGTAATTCAGTGCTCCTTTCACTACATCATGGGACTTAGTATGAAGTCATTGTCTTTTACCATTTGAAAGGCAATCCTATAGTAAAAGGTTTGGATTTGCCCTGCTTGGCCTCAGAGGTCAATGGGTAGATGTTTCATGAAAACATATTTTGTCGTGATGTAATGAAAAACTTACAAAGCATGTTCTCAGTAAGTAGCAGATTCCCATTTTCTGGAAGTCTTAAGTCAAAGAGAGAGGGTCACCTGATAGAAATGTCATAGAGTGAATTCCAATGTAGCTATGGGTTTAACATGAACAAGATGATCTAAAGTCTCCTTCAATTCTGAGGTTCAATGATGATACACACATAAATATATACATGTGTGTATATATATATATGTGTATATATATATATGTGTATATATATATATATATATATATATATATATAGAGAGAGAGAGAGAGAGAGAGAGAGAGAGAGAGAGAGAGAGAGAGAGAAGAGAGAGGAGAGAGAGAGAGAAAGAGAGAATGAGAATTGGAAAGGACAATGAAGAACAATGGATATTATCTAGTCTAACACCCTTAGTATGTAAATGAGGAAACTGAGGCCAAGAAAGACTAAGTAACTTGCCCATCATCACAAGGTAGTAATTATAAAAACCCTGGTTTAAACTCAAGCTGTCTGACTCAAAACCCAGTGCCACTCATAGGTTTACAGATGGAAAAGATCTTAAAGGCATCAGATCCAGTCCCCTTATTTTACAGAAGAAGAAACAAAGGCCTAGGGGTATCTTCCCCACAGCCACACAGCTGGTAAGCATGTGACGTAGGATTAGAATGTAGGCTTTCCTGACTCCAAGTCAAGCATTCTGTTACATCCTATACTTCTTGTTCCATTACTCACCAGACACCCACACTCATTAATTGTTCTGTATGTGTATGTGTGTGTATATATATCTTTAAAATATTATTATATATTAGATAATATTATATTAATAAGTATATAATGCAATTTTATAGCTTAATAATTATATAGCATTGGTATACTACAGATAACATTACATAATAATAATTGCATAATATATTTTACAGATTAATAATTATATAGTATATTACTATGTGTTAGATAATATTATATATTAATAATTACATAATGTATTCTCTATGCAGCAATACTTAATACATTATACATTTGGTGGTATATGTTAATACTTGTATAATGTGTTTTATATATTATTATACGATACATTATATATTAGCCTGTGTTATATTAATAATCACATATTAATACATACACGTTAATAATTATATAGTATACTATATGACAGTTGATATTTATATTAATAATTATATAATATGGAACCTATATATTGTATTATATATTCTATGTGTATAGTATATATATGCCATTTATGTATATATCTATTTATACATAGATATATACACATATAGTATAGTAGCATATACTGTATTAACCAAGATATAGATGGTTCTTGAATATAGACTGACTATATCTGAAATGAGATTTTTTTAAAGAGGGGAGATAAACAAATAAATAAGTGAATGAATGAATAAATAAATAAATAAAAGCTAATTGGAAGAGGTGAGTATACAAAATTGTCATTTAAAATATACTCAGAGGATTGTAAAGCCTAAAACTGGGAGGTACCTTAGAGATCATCTGGTCTATCTCTCTCATTTTTAGAAATGAAGTCACCAAGGTGATACATGAGAATATCACAGACAGAATTTGAACCCAGATCTTTTGACTTCAAATTCAATGCAATTTTTATTATGGTGTTTTTTACATTTCTTTTAGGTCAAACCAATTTCTATTTTTTCTTATCATCACTGGTCTCTTCATTTCCATCACTTTCATTTTCATTCATTGTGTACTAAGATCACATATATACCATACAGGTCTGGGGGAGGGGGGGAGTGTGGCCTGTATTCAGGCCAAAACATTGGTTTGTGTGTCCATGTACAAACACGTGTATACTAGTCCCTGTGAGGTCCTTCATATATAGGAGTGAAGAAAATGGCATTTAAGGGCATAATTCTCCATATGGACTCAAAAGAGCTCTTAATCAACATCATTGAACTATGCAAGTGCAATGGCAGGCCCCCACCCTTTCATCTTAGCTTGTATTCCAAGAGTTCTTCCTTGCCCTTCTCATTGTTAGTAGATGAAAGCTGCCACTATTCATTCTGATCTTGAAAGGTTCCTCCTCTGGTCTCCCTCTGTCCCTTTCTCTGTTCCTCTCAACAGTTCTCAGGGCCGTGATCTGATCTCCTGCCTTGGCCTCAAACCCTTTCAAGAGTCACAAACTCTAGTTTCAGGTGGTCCCTAAACCAGACGATCCTGTTTCTTGCATTATCACAGCAGGTAACGTGAGGAAGGATCTTTGTTTGGATGGAATTCTGAGGAAACTAATACTTGGCTAGTTGCTTTCTGTAAGGGTCAGTGAGAGCTCCCAGGGTTCCGGATGGAGACTCTGTGTGTGTGTGTGGGGGGGGGGTGTTCACATGAGCTTCTTAAGTTCTCAACATTCAGAATCAGCTCTTCAAAATGTTTGACACTGATGGAAGCATACCTCTGGTGAAAGCTAATTCTTACAACAAATGGCATGCTATCCTTTGGGTCTCCTGGGGAGGTTAGGTTCCCAGGGCTATTATCTTTCGGGGAGGGAAGACAATTGCTCTTGTGAGTGAATTAAGCAACAAAGTTATCAGTCCACATTACAAGAATATACATGTAAACAAGTCACAGCTAATGCTTATGTAAGGCAGCTAGATAGCATGGTGGATGGAGTCTTACACTTGGAATCAGGGAAACCTGAGTTTAGATCCTGCCTCCAACACTTATTAGCCATATGACCCTGGATAAGGAACTTTGCCTCTCAGCCTCAGTTTCCTCTTCTTCTCCCGGTTTTGATTTTTTGCTCTGTGGAATTCTTCAGTGGTGAGTAAGGGGTATAGGGGCAGAGCAGATGCTCTCTTAGTTACTTTCAAACTCTAAAGAATCACATGATTCTAGATTTCTGTTATCCCCATTTCACAGATGGGAAAATCAAGACAGAAGGAGGGTGGGGTAACTTGAATATCGACAGTGTAGCAGTCCAAGTTTGCAGTGTAGCCTCCAAGAGACACCTAGTTCCTACCCCACCCCGGAGGATTAGCAGTCCTTTCTGCCCCAGGGCCTATCATATTGCTAAGCATAGCACTTTTTAAAAGATCCATGATTTATTTCCTCTATGTTTATACAGTTTAGACTACCGAGGATTGCAGTTGCTCTGGCATAAAAAATTCGTCTCCTAGTGGCCAGCTCTTTCTTGATGAGTCTCTTTGTGCTTAAACAGTACAGTCCTTAAAAGAAAGACATACGATGGCCTGATCTGTGATCCCCAGCTTTGTAGAATATTTCAGACCAATTGACACAGCCCCTAAAATCCAAGGTCACCTCCATAAGCACAATGGGGCATGTAATAAGGATGGAGGAGAGGATTTAGTAGAAGTTTTACATCCAGTAGGTGCTTAATAAATGAAGGAAGGGAGGGAAGGAAGGAGAAAAAGAAAGAGTAGGAAGGATGGAAGAAGAGTGTCTCAATTGGTGATGAGGAAATTTAGAAAGGTAGATGGCCTCAATGGTATGCTAATAAAATTAATATGAACAGAAGTACTTGTGAAAGATTGGCTTTACCACTGTAGAAGCTTTCTTTTCCCCAATGGCCATCTCATGGAGCATAATTCATTTCCCCCTATGATATGATAAATTATTCAGGAAATTGAGTGGTCATTTCTCATCAGTTTCCTTACAGTAAGCTAGAACGTTAAACTAGATTTCATCATAATAATGTTGTTCACTTGTTTTAGTCACATCCAGCTCTTCATGACCGGTCACCATTTGGGTTTTCTTTGCAGAGATAGTGGAGTAGTTTTCCTATTTCCTTCTCCAGCTCATTTTACAGATGAGAAAACTGACGCAAACAGGTACTTGCCCAGGGTCACACAACTAATAAGTGTCTGAGGCCAGATTTAATCTCGGGAAGATGAGACTTCCTGACTTGAGGTCTAGCGCTCTATCCACTGTGCCACCTAACTGCCCCATCATGATAGTGGCTAGCATTTATATACATAGTACTTCAAGATTTACAAAACACTTTCCCTATGTTATCTTATTTGATCCTCACAACAACCCTGGGAGATAGGTATCATTATCACAACCATTTTATAGATGTGGAAACTGAGTCAGAAAGAAGTTAAATGACTTGCGAAGGTTCACATAGTAAATATCTGGGGTAAGATTCACACTCAGTTCTTTCTGACTATGAGTCCAACATTGCTTCCTCAACCTTTACCTCTAGGAGAATTGCCTGCCTGATCTCGAGTGGGAATGCAGCAGTGGAAGGTCTTGGATGACAGTGAAGAAATTAATTTCTCATTGTCTTCCTTTAAGACCTCATCGACCAATTACTTGCTTCATCATATGGAGCTTAATCTTATGCAAGACAATGAAACAACACGTGATTTTCATCAGGGTAGAATAATTGACCCCTTCTGAGTTCAACCCAAAGGCAGCAAATTCATTTGTTTCATGTGAAAGGTTGGTGAACAAAGCTGAATTTTTCTCCCTTTTCTTCTTCTGTGTGTGTGTACATGTGTGTGTGTGTACACATGCGTGCATATGTGTTTTTAACTGGGAATGTACAGTCCTCTTGGATGTGTTCCATTTCATTTCTGGATTTTTGCTAGATTTCTGC